TGACCCACGAAAGCTTATGCTCCCAGTACTTCTGTTAGTCTCAAAGGTGCCATAGGACCCTCTGTTGCTTTTTACAGATTCAGACTAACACGGCTACCCCTCTGATACTCCTCACTTAAAGTCATCCGGGTTAAGTTGTTTCGTTGTTACGTTGCTGATCAATTAGGAAACATGTTCGTTTAAAGTTGTGCAATGCTCCCTTCTAACGTCATTGGCAGCGGGGAGCCCCGGGACCTTTAAATCCCCGCCGGAGCTCCGGCAGCTTAACGTCGTTTCACTTAAAGTCGCATTTTTTCAAGAACATAACTACAGCGTTAAGGAAGGAGTTACTATCTATCTATCTATCTATATTTTTTCCCCCCAGATCAGATCTCTCTTTTAATTTGGAAGGCTACACCTTTGTGTTACTAAATGATATCTTCACAGCAGCAAATGGAGTATACACTAAACAGAAAATGGATCCAAAGGTAATTTTGTGGTGATCAGGTTGAACTTAGTCATTTTGTGCATGTGATAAAGGAAAGTCATCTACTGTGACTTCTTGCGTACGAGTGGGGTAACACCAAATTTAACAAAGAGAGTCAATTTCATTTGCCTTCATGTTCCAGTTAATATACATACTCTAATACAGATTGGCTTAGGGAGAAGCTGTTAGGAATTTCTCAGCCCACGCATGGGTGAGTAACATGTTTGATTTTCACTCAGTTTAGCCTCTGAGGCAGAGTGTAACATAATCTTGTTTTACCAAAGACGGAAAAAATAAACTTCACTTTCCCAAAAAGTAATTCTATCCAGAAACTTGAGTAAAAGCAATGTGTTTACGATATCATGCATATCTGGAGGAGAACAACTTTTTGGCCACAAATGATCTTTATCAAAGCAAAAGATTATATAAAATGAGCTGGGAGTGATGTTAATCTCAATCCAATTCTTAGTAGCCAAGTGTTTTATATCACTAAATGTGCCAACTGTTGTGGTGATGCTGGTATAACAGGTGGCTTTGGAGAGCCCCGGAACTGAACGTGCATGGAAAATGAACCATCTTGCCCCAGTGGGTGGTTCCACAGGAACATAGCATGTAATTAAGGACTTTGTGGAAGGTTGCCTCTTTCCATGCTGTACCCACCTGGGTGGTATTGTGATCACATTAAGCATTTAATATCAATCATTTTACACTTTTTTTTCCAAACTAACAAAATCTTTGAATTTTACTCTGTTTGTTATTTTTTAAATGAAACCATTTTGGAGTTTCAAAAAGAACAGGAGTACTTGTGGCACCTTAGAGACTAACAAATTTGTTAGTCTCTAAGGTGCCACATTTTGGAGTTGTAATTCTTGTTTCCTTCAGTTTTTCTTGCATTTTTCTAACGCAGAAATGACCAAAACAAAATGGTGCAAGAATAAACTAACACAAAAAGAACAGATTATGCACTAATCCCTTGTAATTCAAGAAGCAATTTGCTCTCCAAAACAAGAAGTGCTATGAAGCTGGCAGGCTTTATAGCTTTAAGCACCAAGCATTAAACACCTTGGGTGAAATCTGGCCCTACTGAAGTTGATGGGAGTTTTACCATTGACTTCACTGGGGCCAGGATTTCAGCCCTACAATGGGTATATGTCCTTTAGTAATCAAAGAGGTCAAACTGAACCTATTCTGTACATTGTACTCCATCTATTTCTGCAGAATTTAAGCTTTCATTTTACAGCAAAAATTAAAACCCAGCTATTTGGCGACAGTCAGGGACCACACAGTGTTGCTAAAAGGTGACCTTTGCATTCCCCTGATTCTTGGCTTCCCCTGTACCAGGCAAATCCCACAACAAAATATTCAGCAGCCTTAGGATTGCTCTAGGTTACATCAGTTGCCAGTGACTCAAAGCGCTCCATATTACCACCCTGGGATCATCCCTTTTCTCCTCGTCACACCCACTACACCGGGGCTGGGGAGGTGATGTAGGAGCCACTGTGTCAGCCCTACACTACTGAAGATTTACCCTATGCTAGATGTGGTGAGTTCTCTCATGGACAGCTATGTCAGGCTAAATCCTTCAGCTGTGTGACACAAAGCAGTTAAAGATTTAGGCCTAACTGAGTTTCTAACTGTATGGTTATGGATATATATGTTTGAATGTGAACCAGTGCAGTCTTGCTTTACTGAGTCTGCAGACAGGCTAACTGAAATGTTAGTTCAGCTCAGTGTTTAGTTTTGAAACCCAATGATAACAAATTTGTCATTTAAATTGTACTGCATGAAGTTTTTCACATTCATAAATAAATTGCCTGAAGGGATGTTGGTTGTTATCAAATGGTCCAGGTTTACAAAAGGTGTGTTTCATTTTTCACAGGAGCTGGGAAAATATGGAGTCCTTTTCTATAATGCTTATTTTATGGTGATACCCACAATGATTATTAGCTTCTCCACTGGAGACCTTCAGCAGGTGAGCAGCACCGTTAGACATCTCACACTAGTACACTTCCCTAATTATTTTAGTTATTTTGCTGTATCTAGAGTTCCTTGGAACAAAATGCTCTAGCGCCATTCTCCAAACTTAGGGCCACATTCTGCCCTGAACTACATCCCCGTGCGATCCTGTTAATTTCATTCGGCTTGTACATGGTGTTAGTCCAGCTATGTTCTGGCCATGAATTTTTCAGCCAGCTAGGAAGATTTTTTTTTTTTCAATGTAGTGAAGTTCAATGACACAAAATGATGAGTAATCACATTGTAAATTCACTTTCCCACTTTTTCTCCATGATAAAGAACAAATAAAGCTACACTAAGTAGCACAATAGTCTTTCCTTTTTACCTTTTCCCATTACAGTTAGAACTTTGAGATTACTGCTCTCAGTATCTCTCATTTTGACTCTCTACTTCATGGGTTTTTACAAGGCACCTTTCCCTCTGTATTTGGAGGCCAGCATTTGGATTCATTATAGCTTGGGCTTTTTCTTCACCAGAAAGATCCTGCAAACCCTTACTATAATTAGTGGTCCTTAACCATAATACTAGTCCTCTGTCAGTCAGTGTGCAAAACTTACTAATGACTAATGAATAGCAGCTGGAATTACTTACTAAATAAGGCCCAAGCTGTGTCATGTGATTTATGAGCTTTCAGTTTTGCCAAATGCTCTAAAATGAGGCTGAGAGTAGCCAAAGCAAGCAACTTCCATGCCATCTATTCTTCTATCAAAGAGAGAATATTCAGAATTAGCTAGACCCAATCCCCACTTGTGACCTACATATCACTTAGTTATAAGCTCATGATAGCTCAGTGGCCCTTCATAGATAATTATAGCACATCAGTGGAGGCAGTGTTGCACAGTGGATAGAGCACTGGAGACCCACTTTCTATTCCTGGCTCTGCCACTGGCCTGCTGGATGACCTGGGGTAAGTCACATTGTCACTGCTTTGTGCCTCAGTTTCACCATCTGTAAAATGGGGTTAATGATACTGACCTCCTTTGTAAAGTGCTTTGCGATCTACTGCTGGAAAGTGCTATATAAGAGTTTATGTATTTATGTATTTATTTATTATTCATTATATTGTTCTTTGCTGCATGTTGTTGGGCACTTAGTTCTTTGTGACATTCATATTGGTGTGTTCTTAAAATTCTGCAGTTACCTGGAACATTGTCACCCACTACAAATATATTATGGCTTAGTTCAGTCCTTTTTGCAAAACATCATCTTGTGGCTTCAGTCCAGTGAACCCGTGTCCCCATCACAAAAAACACAGCTGCCCCCTTAGTTGGCAGTCTCAATGGAGGCTAAGCTTATGTGGTTATTGGGATTGAACTGCTCTCTCACACTTAGATGTGATCCCTGTAAGGCAGGGTTGAGGCATTTTGATGGGAATGCATGAGGAAGTCTGCTCTGCTGCAGTCTGCGCTATGCTTGTTCTGCGAATAAATCAAGGATTTCATTGTGCTGGGCTGTTGCTCTGGCACCTTTCACAAGCAATTGCATGCACAGTTTATTTTTAAAAAGACCCCATCCCACAAATGTATCATGGCTATTGACAACACATATTTGTACCTATTAGAATTAAGTTCCAGAATAGGAGACACCTGTATAGCTGACCCAGCATGATGAATATTTACTTCAAATAATGGAAAATGCCACGGTAATGTAGAAACATTGATGAATAATCTGTAGATTAAGGGAGATACCTGTTTTTACCTGGTTGTCATGTAACAAATTTTTGTTGCTTTGGTGCTACATTACAATGTTTTCTGCTGTAATTCAGCATGGGCACTGTGCAGTCTGTGCCCTGTAATGAGAAGAGACAACCACATGCCAACCAAAATATTTGTGTTCAATCTGTGTGGAATGGAAACTGTTCCCACTCCCGCTGATTCATACAGATCTGGTAGAGTAAAGCATCCCATAGGCTGGCAGTGAGGAAAGGGTAATCTAGGAGTGTCTTGTTATTAATTTGTCCTTAACACAGCTGGCTGATGGATTGTTAGTGGAGTATGAACTAACAAAACAGAAATGAAGTGTCTTCAGTAACTGTAACAATCATGATTCCAGTTTATCATCAAAGTTAATGCAAATGAATCTTATTGACACATTTAGTAGTGACTGATATGTGAATTTTTTGTTTAGTTGTGTTTCTTCCCAAGGAACAACCTTCAGAGTGATATAGGAGCCTTTTGTTTGACTAGATACATGAAATTTTTCAGATACGGAGTAGTCCTGCCCTTGCACATTGGAAACAAATCTTGATAACATAAGCAAGTGTTTTGATCTCCCCCATACACAATTGCATATTTTTAGGGAGCAGAGTAAGGGCTTCTTTTCACCTCAAAGGCAAAAACGTGTGCACTTCCAAGAAAATATTGCCCAACACCCATATGTGAAAGTGGTAGAAAAATGATTGTTCAGTATAGCTAGCCCTCCCTTTCATACAGCTATGCATAATGGGTGTTGATAGGACAGCAGATCAAACAAACTATTGTTAATCCTCAAAGCAGCTACAGCTAAGAATCCAAACAAGTCACTTGGGGGGTCTGATTTTCAAAAATGTAGAGAGGTCAAATTGCAGTCCTTTGCATGCACATTTACCATCTGTGCCCAGTAACTGGAGAACTGCATGTAAACAAGTCTAGCAGGTGCCTGCCTGCTTGTATGTGCGTAAATTCCTGCTTTACATGCAACATGCAGTAAGTGTGCTTGTAAAAGATGTGGATCTTAACTCCACTTATGAAAACCAAGCCCTGGTTTACATCTATAAAAGATAGCATAAAAGAGGGTGGGTTATTTTAATAGTTGAGGACGTTTCCAAAGGTAAAGGTTTTTCCCTCTCTAAATTATACCTTACTGTTTGATACTGTTGCTCACCCCCAACGACAATCTGCATGCTGAATCCTGCAAACACTTTCTCATATGAGTGGTCCCATTGAATTGTCAGTAATTCTTACCTGGGTTGAGTAGAATGGGTCTAATTAAGTGAATAAGGATGATTTGCACGATTGGGGCTATAGTCCCTTCTATCCAAGGATCTCCTAGTGCTTTACAAATTTTAGTCACAAAACTCCCCTGTAAGATTAAGAATTATCATCTCCAACTGTACAGGCAGAAATTGAGGTCCAGGCCGGTTAAGTGACTTGCCCTGGGTCATATCAGAAGCCTGTGGCAGAGAGGGGACTAGATCCCAGAGCTGCTTATATCTAATCTCATGCTTGAAAACCTTCTAAAAGACACATTCATTTGTAAAATCTCACTGAAAAGAAGGATTAGGGTCTGATCCTGTATCCAGTAATATCTGTAGCAATGCTCCCTTTGCTTTCAGTAGGTGCAGAATTAGGCCCTAAAAGCTGTGAATATGCAATACATTGATATAGAATAGGTGTCTTTTCTGGAGAAGGTTTAATTCTTTATCCTTTAATTAGTTTTAGTGTAAATTCTAGTTTGTTGCATATTAATGATATGCACTATTAGGCAACAGCATCAACGAATGAGAGTTCAAACCAAGATTCTGTATAAAGAATTATTCATTTGTTGCATAGTGTTTGCAACATGCAGTCTAATGTGCCTGCTCTGTTAAGATTGCTATACCACACAAAATTAAAGAATATGTTACAAATCAATTGTACTGTTAGCCTGCTAAATGTATAAATCTGTCTCCCAGGTGAATATAAACCCTCCATAATTCTAGCATGAATTGTAATCAATTGTTTTTCTTATTTTGGACATTTTCATTTTAACAATGTTTCCCTGAATGTATATACCATATTTAATTATACAGTATTTAATTGCATATTTCTTTCTTTTTAATAGGTCACAGATTTCAAGCACTGGACAAATCTTTTATTTCTCTTTCAGTTTCTTCTCTCCTGCTTCTTGGGGTAAGAAGGCAGTGATATATGAAGAGGTTTTGGCAGCAATTTTATTTCATCTCTCAGAAATGTAGTTAGTTAGGTAGAAAACAGTAAATACTCAAGATAGTTCTCTGGGAATTTCTAGGAGAATGTACTTCATTGAAATGTAAGATGGTAAAGCTCAGGAGATTTCTAAGAACGTGGACTATGATCAGAACACTTGCTGGCACTTTTTTTTTTTAACTGTGGTGGTCAGAAACATGACTCTAAAATGTCATCTCCAAATTATATGAGCTTATTGCACTGAGTTTAATAGATTGCATGTTATTTAGGGTAGGGACTATGTTTATTTATTCTTTAAAGCACCTAGCACAATTCAAGTGCTATACAAATGATGAATATGAATAAAACACGAGCCTTTGCTACAGTTAGCAGAGCAAATAAAAATATAGGAAAGTGAGCTGGATTCTATTCTGTCTCACTGCATCTCCAGCCAGTGTCAAGTAAGTACACATAACGAAATTGGTACTACTGGTGGTGATTTAAAAGGCAGAGAAGATGCAGCCTGAGGTGCATCTCGGGTGGGGCTTGCACAGCTGACATTTATACAAATCATTTTTAGACTTGTAATCTGAACAAATTTGGTATGGGAGTCATGAAAAGAAACTAAACCCTAATCCTACCATGTCTTTTTCAGAGCTGCTTTTTCAGAACGCTGAATGTACTTCAAAGGAACCAATAAGTTTGAGGACTTCAGTCGGGCTTTGATCATGCAAGGTCCTGAGCACTTCAAAGTGTATCTGAGCATCCTTGACTCCCATTGGTGTTAATAAGAGACAAGGATGCTTAGCACCTCTTAGAAGCTGTCCGTGCCTTGAAGGGTCAGGACCTAGGTCAGTTTAGGGGTAGTCCACAACCTATGGACAGAGATATAGAGATTGTGTTTCTAAAAAAAGCTATAGCACAATTTAACACTAGAAGTGCTAATGTAAATCTTACTATCCTGGGTCACCCTGAAGTAGGGCCATTCAGTATTGTACTTAATGTAACCCAGTGTCAGTCATATGTTTTTTACTTTAAAAGTCATAAACCTTTTACTTTTGATTTAACTGGAATACCATTGTATAATGTTGAATTGTTTAATAGATTCATGTGGAATGAATTTACTAAGATTTGTTTCTTCGCCTTAGGTTTCTCTTAATGTATTCTACAGTCTTGTGCAGCCATTACAATTCTGCACTTACGACATCAGTGGTTGGTGCAATCAAGGTAAGTGGTAGCAGGAAAAAAGAGTGAGAACACTGAAATAGTGAAGAATATTCAGAACATGGTGAAGAGTATTCAGTCACCAAGTGTCTTGCTGATGTTGTGAGTGTATGTATGAGCTGGAAACACAACAAATGGCTAATCCATGTCTTGGTGGCAGTGCTACATTTGCCAGTACAGGAGATCCACATTAGGAGAATGAGTATAATTTCTCCCAGGACTAAGTGAAGCTCAGATGTATTGTAGAAATGAACATTACTCCGGCCTTCCCTGCTTGATAAAGCTGCACCAGTGTAATTAAAGGTGTGATTTTAAACTGATTTAGTTAATCTGATGCAAGCTCCTGTTTGAACACATTTATTTTAGTTTGAGTGATTTATTTTGGTTTATCTTAAACCGATTCCTAATTCACTTAAGATAATACAAACAAAGCATGGTTTAACTAAACCAATTAAATAAATTAAATTAAATAACAAAAGTGCAACTCCCTCATGTAGATAAGGCCTGAGTGTCCATGTGAGAAGGTCACTGACTGCACAATTGACTCCTCTTGCCAGCCTATTCATGGAGGAGAACACAAGAGTTGTCAAATGAAAGAAGAGTACTGGTTTAAAAAAAAACAAACTGGTAAAATGGTTCTCAGTCTGAACAAAGGAGAGAAGATCCTAAGCATCTCCTCTAGAATGGCCTTGGTCAGACTGGATGCAAAAGCTTAGAGAAGCCCCAATTGGATGGCTCCAACATGTTTAAATTTGTCAAAGGAGCATTGAAGTCGCTGTCTTCTGAATGTTTTCTTTTCTAATTCCTGCAAGCATTAAAGTGGAAACCTTATCTCTCAGATCTGATCCGTGCATTGTTGTTTTAAATTTTGTACATTTGCCCTGAGACATCTGGATAGGGCACATTACAAATCGGAAAATAACTAAAGAAATGCGGATCATTACAGGCACGATAAAATCAATGCCACAGACATTGCTTTGTATACTGGTTCACATATATCCACCCCAAATTTGAAGTGACATAAGAATCCTTTAGGCGTTTCGTCATAAACAAGGGAACAAGGGTCTTCCAATACATGAAGACCCAAATAACATACCAAAATTTGGTCAGTATAATAATGCCTGCATCTGTAATTTTCACTCCATGCATCTGAAGAAGTGGGTTTTTTACCCATGAAAGCTTATGCCCAAATAAATCTAAATAAATCTTTAAGATGCCACCAGAACACACCCTTTTGCAGTGAAGAGGAACCCTCCTTATATTGCAAAAAGTAGCATCCATTTTTTGGGGGTGGGGAGGGCCCAATTTGTGCCAACAGTTGAATAGCCAGTGCAAATCTGAATGCCAGCACTTCTACATAATTGCAGACGTAAATTAAGACACTATAGACACAGATGCTGAGATTTTCACCTGAAAAAGAGAGGTTGGGCTCAGCTGAAAATGTACCCTGCAAAAAAGGTACATAGAAAAGTATTAAAGAAATAGTCCTTGGAATTTCTGGTCCTTCAAAAACATTCTATCTGAATCAGCTTGTAGTGAATTGTTCATATTTGGGAAAATTGATGATTGTTTATTATATATTGTTTTTACATTATCAGTAAACTTGCCACACTGTGAAACTGATTTTAGTAATAGTTTTTTTAAAGGACAACAGCTAAAAACGTTCAAAAGCAAATTAACTTGATGACATCTAAGTTCTCAGAGGCTAAAATTGTTTAGTAAATGCATGGCTTTTGATTTCTTTTCAGAATATATCCATTGCTTATATTGGAATGTTGATTGGTGGAGACTACATATTCTCTATATTAAACTTTATAGGGCTAAATATTTGGTAAGTGGAATCTGACTGGTCTTCATTTGGTAAAACTGAGAAACTATTCCTTAATGAGCACTAGTTTGTTTTTGTTTCAGTTGGCCAATTTGGCTGAGGTAATTTTGAAACCTGTGGCTGGGCAAGTGCTATATGTTGCCTCAAGATGTAAAATGAATTAGGATCAGTTCTAATTTTTATGTCTATTTATGTTTGTTTCTGTATATTTATTTTGTCATATTAAGATTGTAATTATGTAGATATACCTGCAGTTTTACTACTAGGAGCTGTAGCTCATTATTTTTTATGAGCAGAGCTGGGTCTTGTCAGTTTGAGGATGAGACATCTAAGGAAACTCCAAGTATTGCAGGAAATGGGAATGTTGATTCAATGAGATGTGCTTATCCCTGTGACTTGTTACTGAATCTGTGTGCCAGGATGGTGTACTTTCAGTAGGAGTAATCATTTTTCATTTCCAGTTCATAAAATCTGTTGTGTTACCTGCATCCCAACCCATATGGGTGCTATAGAGTGGTTATTTATTGATTTCCCCCTTCCCCCGTGTATTCAGGGCCAGATTCTCTGCTCATGTAAATCAGTGTAGCTCTAAGCTATATAAATTTACACCAGCTGAGAATCTGGCTCTCTGTCTGTAAAGCACTTTGAAATCTTTTGGAAGGAAAGTTGTTATATACATATCTGATTTTTGTCAGCAAGTATTCCTGACCCTGTGTCTGCTCTCTCTTCTTTAGCATGGCAGGAGGACTGAGATATTCATTTTTAACATTAAGAGACAACAACAAGCCTAAGCAGCCTACAGATGTAGAAAACACATCTTGATTCAAAGACCTAGCAAAAATGAATAACGTGAAAGGCAGTGAAGATGCAAGCTCACTAAACAGCACTGCCATGAAGTTAATCAAGCACATGCAGCAGGAATGTATCTGAAATGAGAAAACTACCTCAGTTACCATTGCGTGCACACATTGAATAGGCTCAGAAGTGTTCTTACACACAGTGTTGCCACTTATTTTTGTTTTATTCTTTTACACCAAGACTGACTTATAATATGGGAACATCTATCCAAAGTAATTAGCTAGTTGTGACTGTCTTTATTCTTCTTGCCATTGACAATATTTGTACTCAGCCAAATCTTAAATTTCTTACTCAGTTTTCATCAATTCTTGTGAGGCAAAACTCCCACTAAAGACAATGGGGGCTTGATTCATTTCTGTCCTGTACCTTGCAGACTTTTTTACACCTACAAAGAGGGTGTACAATGCTACCAAATCAAAATGGTTTTACACCCACTTTGCACTAGTGTAAATGATTGCACAACTGGATCCTGGCTCACTACAAAAGCAGTTTTCCCTCTTTTGGTATTGACACCTCCTCATCAATTATTGGGAGTGGACCACATCCAATCTGACTGAATTGGCCTTGTCAACACTGGTTCTCCACTTGTAAGGCAACTCCCTTCTCTTCATGTGCCAATATATTTATGCCTGTATCTGTAATTTTCACTCCATGCATCTGAAGAAGTGGGGTTTTTTTTCCCCACGAAAGCTTATGCCCAAATAAATCTGTTAGTCTTTAAGGTGCCGCCAGACTCCTCATTGTTTTTGTGGATACAGACTAACACTAACACCTTCTGATACTTGGATCCTGGGTGTTTGTCCTGGATAAGGAGTGATTGAAAACCGAATAAGGAACTCAGGGTACAGCCCAGTATGTTTTGAATAAGGAGTCCTCTCTTATCTTACCAAATCTCTGCTTAATTCTTCCAAAGAAGCTATCATTCTCTGTGGTATCACAGTCTGTTGCCACAATCATGATTGTTTTTTCATCAGTGGATTTTTCTGACTTTCTGCTGGATCAAATGAAAGGAAGAGATGGGCAGTGAGAGAAATATTTATTGTTTAAAGCGAAATACCTTGGCTGATTAGCCAGTACTGCATGGAAAAATACAAGAGAGACCAGAAAGGTAAATTCATTTCTGTTCAGGTATGCATACCTAGATATCAAAGGTTCCCCTCTGCACATTGTTTGTCAGTGCTTAGCTTGGAACACTGCACAGAAAATGCTACTACTGTGTGCTGACTGGAGCAGAAAAAAATGAGTGGCACACTGAAGACTGACTTTATGCAATAATGTTTCATTGATGCAGAATTGTAGATGTCCCACAGTGTGCCATGTACAACATGATAGCTGAAATCACCTAGAATTCATCTGGTTTTGTTCTGTACTCTAAACTCAGACTGTGTTCCCAAAGATTCACTGAGGAGGGGAAGGATAGTCCAGTAGTTGAAGTACAAAACTTGAAATTGGGTGATCTGGGTTCTGTTCTTACTTCTGCCATAGATGTTGGACAATAACATAATTGCTGTCTGCCTCAGTTTTCATATCTGAAAAGGCAGAAAATATATATTTACCTACATCACTGGGTGTGTAGTTAAGTTAAATTAATCAATCTTTGCAAAGCATTTGATCCTCAGATGGTGCCATAGGAGTGTACAGTGATTATTATTGTTAGGCTTCTCAATTTCAGATACACACAAGCCAAGTTATGATTTTCTGTTGAAATCATGAGATGTTCGAGTTTCACAAGGTTTTGACATAGAACCAGGTAGATCTGGATAGTATTGATTGACTGAGTTTCAGTTTGAGGTTTGAGCTTCAAACTCAGCAAAAATTGAGGAGTGCAAACCCATGTGGACCATAGGAAGTGGTATTCTGGGTCAGCAGCAATGCCTATTTAGTTCAGTATCCTCTCTGACACTGGCCAGTACCAAATGTTTCAGTGGAAGTTGTCAGAATCCCACAGTCTGCAAATGTGGGATATCTGCCGGTCTCACCCTGATCTCTAATAGCTAGAGGTTGGCTTAAGCACTGAAGCACAAGGTTCCTAAATGTTTGTTGTCATTAATTATAACTCTGGATATTCTTGATAGCCATATAATTATGCACTCTCTTTTTGAATCTTAAGTTCTTGGCCGCAATGACTTCCTGCAGCAAGAAGTTCCACAGCTTAATCAGGTGTTGTGTGAAAAAAGTATTTCCTTTTATTGGTTTGAATTTCTCACCTTTTTAGTTTCATTCACTGTCCTCTTGTTCTCATGTTGTATTGTGAGATACGGAGAACAGAAGCCCCCGATCTATCTTCTCTATACAACTCGCTCTTTTATACAGTATAATTCCAGTTATCCAAATACCCTTTTTCCAAAATCCTAGTTTATCCGAATCCACGGTGTGCCTCCTCCACCCCCCATGTAGCCCTATGTTAGTGAATCACCCACTGATAAGTTCTCAATTAGCCTCTTAACATCCACTAGCACTACTCAACAGCTTTATATTTGTATAGTGGTTCTTATTGGTTACTGCAACTAGTGAGATCTAATCTTGTTTGCGCAGCTTGGCAGGACAATGTAAAAAAATATATATCTGTGTTTGGATCTCAAGCAGCAACTACAGATTCTTGAAGTCCTAGACCTGGCCTACACCTAAAACTTAGGTCAACCTAGCTATGTTGCCCAGGGCTGTGAAAATTTTCATGCCTTCAGCACCATAGTTAGGACAACCTACCCCCCCAGTGTGGATGTGGCTAGGTCAACAGAAGGATTCTTCCATCCATCTACCTACTGCCTCTTGGAGGGGTGGATAACTACACAGATGGAAAAAATCCCTTCTGTTGATATAGGAAGCATCCACACTGTGGCACAGCTGCAGCACTGAAATGTCAGCATTACGGGCCTGATTAACCTTTTGTGGGCCCAGCGCCAAACATATTTGTGGGCCCCCATGGAGGCAATGGAGCATGGCGCGGGGAAGGTCAGTCCCAGGAGCAAGGGGCCAGCCAGAGGGAAAGGGGCATGGCATGGCAAGGGCAGCCCTACTCCGCCCAATGCGAGGGCACTATTTACAAACTGGCAGTTGCCAGATGCACAGTGGCCTGCCCGGCCCTGTGCTGGCAGCATGCCTCTTCCCCTCGGGGGTGGACCTGTGCTGTGCCACACAGCTCCCCCTCCCCCCCCGCCCAACATCATCCCAACTCCCTATGGCCAGAGGCCCCCGGACCCACTATGGCCAGCACCCACCCACAAATGCATAGTGCCCTGTACAATACCACCCCTGCCCACAGTCCCACCACAATTGCCCAGCACCCCTCACAGAAGCCCCACTCCCTAGTGCACCAACACACACATCTTCCCTGCCCCTTCACAGCCCAGCTCCCCACCGACCCACTCCCCCAAGCCCTGCCTCCCAGCCGCACTCACCAGCCCTGCCGGGAGGCAACTGTATCTGCTGGGGCTGAGCTGGCAGCACAGCCAGAGCCGGTCCAAGGGCTGGGAAAAGCTCCGGTCCCTCAGGAGTGACACGATCAGCCCGGCCAGGGCCTGCCCCGGCCTGGGTCGCTCAAGGTGCACTGGCCTGGAGGGGCCCAGCCAAGCCTCCACACTGTCTCCCCATCCACCTGGCTGAGACTGGCCAGGCTTCTGCACCAGTCCCAGGTGGCTCAGCTCTGGGGAGACAGGTGGGCCCCTCAGGTGGTGGGAAGCAGAGACTGCCCGGAGCCGGAGGTGCACTGGGGTCTGGCCAGGGGGCTGAGAGGAGCAGGGGATGAGGCCAGGGGATGGAGAGGAGTCCTCAGCCAGCCGGCGGGCAGGCCGAGAGAAGCAAGTGGTGGGCAGGGGGACCCAGTGGGGTCTCGGAGCGCAGTGCAAGTGGAGCAGGCCGGGGCCCCTTCTGAGCATGGGCCCAGCTCTATGGAGCCACTGAAGCCATTGTAAACCCTGCACTGCCTGTGTTCCCTGTATTTCAAGATCTGTGAAACTGCAGCTCGGAATAGCATTTCTGTTTATCCAAATGCCCAGTTATCTGAAAGCTTTGGATGTACCCCAAACCATTCAAATAAACGGGAGGGTATCATATGCTTCATGCCCCCATTTATTCATTTCCTTTCTGAGATCTGTGTGGATCAAACCAAAAATGGTGTTTGTATGAAGCTTTGTAAAGTGAAACCACCGCATTTTGAACAGTTCAAAGAACAACCGAAGAGCTTGTCTACATAGCTAAGTCAATAAGTTTCCCTATACTGGTATTATTATATTGGCATGGCTATCCCAGTAAATTTCCATGTGCAGACAAGCCCTAATCCAGAAACCAGTATGTGACCTTTCCATCTCCATTCTGTGAACTATTAAAGAAAAGCAGAACAGGTATTGAAATGCTGTTTTATCATTATGATGTTCAAACAACACCCTGGTATTTTGTTAGTATTAGAGAGCCATGTATTATGGATATGGATTTCAAACATTCTGAAATTTGGGGGGCATTTGTTTCCATGGTTATGTTTCAGCCTAGAAAAATGGAGGCCATTTGCAAAAACCAGAGCCAGGTTTGGATTTAAAACCCTAGAGGTTGGGGGTGTTGGATGGAGCATTTGGACTCTGGTCCATCTCTAGTCAGTGTTTTTGCTAACTTAATTTAAAGTATAAACCATGCTGCTTGATTATTGAAATCTTTTTGCAGGGTATTTAACCTGCTCATGAATAGTTTTTAGCATGAAACTGAAAAATACCTCAAATTCTCACAGGCACTGTATAACCATTTTCTGCCAGCCCTACATCTAGGGCCAGACTGGAGAACAAAGAGCCTCTCCCTGCTCAAGAGTCAAATACAAGAGTCATCCTTGCGTTCCAAGGACCTGTACCGTCGTAAGGGCAAGCTTCTCCAAAGTGAGGAGAGCAGAGACACTGCACCTTCCCCAAAAGTGGCACAGTTGGTCACTTTCTAGCTCTGGAAGGTATTTTTCCTGCTAGAGAATCAATATCTTTCATCACTCCTGCTGGGTGATGCAGCCCTGCACTTCCACTGTCTGGAGTTGGGGCTGCATGCCAGGACCAAGCCTTTATTGTAATCCTACCTTTCATATTCCAATCCAGAAAGCAGCTATTCTGGTTGAACTAATTTCCCTTAGGGCTTGTCTACCTGCTAGGTTACTGTGCAGTAAACCAGGGTGTGGATCCACAGTTTACCAGTTGATTGCACAGTAATGTCACACATGGACACTCCTACAGTGCACAGAGGTTATGGCTACGCTGCAATTAAAAACCCGTGGCTGGCCCATGCCAGCTGACTTGGGCTTGGCCTAAGGGGCTATTTAACTGCAGTGTAGACATTTAGGCTCAGGCTGGAGCCTGTGCTCTAGGCCCTGTGAGTTAAGAGGATCCGAGAGCTTGGGCTGCGACCCAAGCCTGAATGTCTATTTCACAGTTAAACAGCCCCTTAGCCTGAGCTCTGTGAGCCCGAGTCAGCTGACCCAGGACAGTCACAGGTTTTCAGTTGCAGTGTAGACATACCCCAAAAGTCCCAGAGTGTAACTTGGTTTACTACTACTTTCACTTTCACTTTTGCCTTCTGGCTATTATGATCTAGTACAATTCTGCCAATTCAGGGAAATACTTTAATTTTTAAAAATGTTTTCTTATATATTTTAAAAAATTCTTGAACATTTTTCTGTTCATGTTGTCTAGTAAAACTCCCTTTGCCCCACCACTACCACCAGAATGTCAAATTTGGGCCTAAATTACCTGACCATTCAACTTTAAGCAGGTGGGCAAGATGGCAGGGTGGCTTTCACTGATAATCAGAGGATTAGCACAGCAGTGGGAGTACAATACTGCTTGATTATATAGCAATTGCACCTACTGAAATGAAAGAAAGAAAGAAACCCTCAAGGAAAACAACTCTGTTCAACTTGGTATGTACCTTAATTCATCAATATTGTTTGCTGTATGCTTGTAAATAAAGAAATGCAATTATTGTCACTATTTTTGTATTTTTATTATTGGGTGCAGAGGAATGATACTTCTAAATCACAAGTGAACCCTAGGTCAAATACATTACAGTAAAAAACCAACAACATCCTAGTTGAAATAATTTCAATTAGCCAATTATGCATACCAGGCTTCTGATGAAGTGTTTGAATTTTGGGTTGTGTAGCTAAAGTACAAATTTTGATCATTCTTATACATATGTATGTTTTATTAATCAAAGTAGATGTAAAAGATCATTAAGAAATTAAGATGATAAAATAGATGATTCTGTGGTAATGTTTGCAGAGTTTATGTGGATTAACTTAATGTAGGATGTCAAAACTTATCAAGAAGATATCAAATCCCAAATCCAAAGTCTAATCACACAGTGGCAACCAATAATCTACTATTTTCTTTCTATATAGAAAATTTTGATCCCTAATTCTAGTGCTTATCCATTTGCCAGTCAAGTTTTAGATCAGTGAAAGCTACAGGAATGTCAGAGATGTTCAACTAAATGGAATTCTTAAGTTAGAAATTTAAACAAGTATTGAATTATTGAAATGATAATTCAGAATTATTTTGACAGTAATTGGTAACTGTACATACCTCACCCCAAAGTATCCATTTACTAAATCAAAACTACTTCTTATGTCTCTTGCCATACCCCAGTAGATAACCCTACTCTTAGTTTTATACAAACTCATAGGTTATTTTAACTAAGTGCTAAGATGTTTTGTAAACTCTTAGAACTTACTGCTCCAATCTTTCTCTTTGTGTAGACAGGCCAAGATTTTAAAAAATAGGTGCCCAATTTTAGGCTTCTAAGTCCATATTTAGGTACCTAAACAAATGGCCTGATTTTTCCAAAGTGCTGAAGCTAGTAGCTCCCTTTGACTTTAATGGGAGCTGCTGTGTGCTTTGCACTTCTGAAAATCAGGCCACACGTTTAGGTAACTGTAGGGAAAGATTCTGTACACAGAACTTGGATAAGCAGTGACTGGGTGAGGACAATAATTATACAAATTATAATATAAATTATTATATAATTATAATTGTACAAATATTTATAGGCTGTAAAGATCAAGGATGGATAAGAATTGATTATCATAGTATTAGCAGTAATTGGATGAGAGTAAGAAAAGGAAAACTGATGCTGAATATCAGGAGACACTTTCTGACAATGCAACCTGTAAACAGTTGTTGTAAACTGAGTCCCAGAAAAAGAAAATCCCCAAGGTCACTTTCAGTCATTGGCTGAGCTGGAAATAGACCCTAAGAGTCCTGAGGCTCATGGTCCAGATCTGACAGCTAGAAAATACTGCATCTCATTAGAATATCATAGAATCAAGGGACCTCAAAAGGTCATCTAGTCCAGTCCCCTAAACTCATGGCAGGACTAAGTATTATCTAGACCATCCCTGACAGGTGTTTGTCCATCTGCTCTTAAAAATCTCCAATGCTGGAGATTCCACAACCTCCCTATGCAATTTACTCAGGTGCTTAACCACCCTGACAGGAACTTTTTCCTAATGTCCAACCTAAACTTTCCTTGCTGCAATTTAAGCCCATTGCTTCTTGTCCTATCCTCAGAGGTTAAGAAGAACAGTTCTTTTCCCTCCTCCTTGTAACAACCTTTTATGTGCTTGAATATAGTGTAGAAAACAATCTGCTTTGGTACGGAGATGGTCTTGATAAAAATTTTGTTTGTTGTTTATGGATGTTCTGGTGGCAACTCCAAAGTCAAAGTTGTATTGAGATGTTGACTTAAAGAATTCAACCTCCTTGTTATTTATGAAGAACACTGTATCCTCCCCAAACTTACAGCACTCTGAGTACATAATGAATTTCCTGAGAAATTGCAAGTATTTTTTAATAATTTTTTGTTACAATTAGTTAAAAAAGAAGTACTTTAAGCAATGTAGCACTCAAATTGTTTTTGAGAATGATTTTAATCATGGAATAACACAAATATCAAACAGTTCAGACTTTCCATTTTGGTAAAACTCACTGGAATCTCATGCACAGTTTGCCTTTGAAGAAATCAGGTTGCAATTAAGTGAAATTATTAATTATTGTTATTGTTTTAATTAGAAACTAATAGACAGGGCCTGCAATAGGACCATTGTGATCAACCAGTCATCACTTTTCCTCTTTAACTAATCTGCATACTGCAATTCTCTTGGCAGAAATGAGTCAGCAGTGTGAGGGGAACTATACACCAGGATTCCTCAGTCATAGCTTATTTGGCTAAAAGAGTTTTTAAATTTGAAAGTAATCCATCAAGTTAAAATATGTAAATGTGTAGTTCAGATACATAAACAACCTTTATTCTGCTCTGTAATAAGCGTATGATGAATGCAGTTTGGGGTTTCTGGACCCAGATTAGATGAAACTGACATTTAAAGATTGGTTTTTCATTTCTTTTCCATTCATGTTGTTGCTACAGAGGAGAGTTAAGGTTGCCTGAGTGCCTTAAGTGTGTATTTCCATGCCTTAACATGTTTGGCTTTATAATAAGTTTAAACTTAACCCTGCATTTTCTATGTTTCTAGTGATTCTTCTTGGGATAATTACAACATTCTTGTATATTTCTTATCCGTAAGTTACTGATATATACTCTCAACCTCAAAAGCAATTTAACATAGAGGTTTTTGTCTGGGAATTTAAAAATGAGTCCAGGCCACAGAGTAGGATCCTAATTCAACATGAACATGCCCAAAGTTTTGAGGTGTCTGCATTGAAGATTTTAGTTTGTCCAGCAGCAAAAGTTTGGAGGTGCTCTCATCCAGGGTTTTGGGATAGACCCACCTTTAGTTTCTTTGAAAATTCTTTTTTGTTCCTGGATGTTTTCCCAAAAAAGGAACCTTGTCTAAAACCAGGTATTAGAAATCCTAGTTTGGTTTTATCTATTCCAGTAATTTACCAATCTGAGTGTAGTATAGGGACGGTACTTTAATCTAAACCCTTGGCACTCAGTGGGGAAAAAAGAAATCACATGACCCAGTGGATTTGATTAGACTGTACACTTCTCTGCCAATGCTTAGAGAGTAGCAGTGCGCTAGGAGGCAGTTAAGGGGAAGATAGTGTTGGTATTTCATCCAAGCTCGGTGGATCTGTTCACCATGGGAGAGTTCCAACAGCAGCTGCTCACTCTTTTTGGGGGTCTAATTTGTCTATTTACTCTGGTGAAATGCATTAGATTTTTGAAGTATTTTTTCCCCTATGTATGGAATGCTTTGCCTCAGTCTTTCTTTCGGTCAATGGGAGAATGGGCAGGTAATGGAATTTTCTTCACATTTTTATTGCTATAATTGAGTGATTAATTTCTGTGTTATTAATCATGAGTGGTTCTCCCCCTAACCCCTTTAAGAACTAAACTTGTAACTTTTGCTGGCGGTTTTCCACTGATTTTAATTTTTATGAACCAGAAATTTCAGTGTACTTGGGAATACAAGAAAATAATCAGAATGGTTATAAAACACCATATGTTCTTTTTCAAAATACATATATATGGAATTTAACTCCCTCTTCATCCTTCCCTATACTGCACACATCCCAGTTCTATCACTTTTTCTCTGCTGGAAGTGCTTTAGTTTTATAACATTGCCTATATCCTTAGTTTCCTGATCTAGCATTTATGAAGCAATTAATTTACCATTAGCATCTGTCCCCATCCTTGGAAGCTTGTTTCCTATGTTCGTGGTAACTTGGTTCCAGTGTAATTTGCCTGAAGTGGCTACCTGGCAATAATAATATCATTAACATCCATATTTACAGTAGACTCAAAACTTGGCTGCTCCATTTTAAAGGTACCACATGTCCTCAAAAGAAGAACATTGGTGTTTAAAAATAAAACATTTTCTTGATATTGAATGCTGAGATTTTTTTTTTTTAGGATTGTTAAACTACTAGCATTAAGCAGGATTGAGGATTTATTGCAGTTTCTGAATTCCTGTATTACGAGTGTCACAGATGAGGTCACTTAATAGCAAGATGCCATCATCAGCATCAAATGCCAATTTTAGTGTAAACACTTTCCCCTCCAGATTGAAGTCTCAAGATCCAGGTCTCATTTACTTTAATGGGAGTAGATCACATCCACTGTACATGTTACATTTTGTTACTGATGGGTGGCATCCACCCCGTTCAGAAGGCCAGCACAATGCCCAGGTACTACTGAAATAACCTGTAAATCCTACATTGAAGAATTAAGTGGGACTTCAGTGGGGCACAAGTCTAGCACTGACTCTCTCTGTGGAGAGTGGATTTCATTAAGTGGAAGTTCTATGGTTGAAATCCTGACCCCATTTAAGTCAATGGGCTCAGTGAAGATTGGTAGGTTTATTTAAACAGTTCATTGCATCACATGAAGCAGGATATTCTAAGACACTAGAATTAAAATTGGCAGATCTAGACCTGTCAAGTCTGCTGCTTTGCCCAAAAGACTACTGCTTTTTATTGGTCTACTGGGAAACCTAACCAATCACTGCTTGTTTTGTTGAAGGGCTTCTTTCTCCATATGAAATAGGGGAGTGAGGTGTGTATTAACAACTAATCTTGGCATTAAAAACTCTCTCTCATAATTTAGACTACCCAAATCCATATTTTCCAGAGACTCTCACGAAACAAAATCCTTTAATGCTCATATTGCCCATTTCATTCCATTTATTATGATGACTTCTTGGGGCTACCTGGGAATTGTTCAGTTTGTTCCCTATGGTCAGATTGTTTATATGGCACCCAAAGCGTGCTAGTTGCTAGGTCCCCACCCCAAGGATATTTCAAGCCAAATGAAGAGATGATGGGATGTGTGAAAACAAAATTGAAGAGAATGGGTAGGAGAGTGGAGGGAGAAGGGTTACATGTACGTGGTGGCGAATTTGCTTTGGTTGTGGTCTGTGTATGTCCTGGTTGGGGATCGTAGCATCTTTAAACATTGTTCTCTAAAAAATTAAGATATTGTATTTTAAGGTTTGGTGGGATAGAAGTGGACTAAAAGGGACTGGCGTGGTGGGGAAGGATTTGCCAGAGCAAAGGGGCATGGAAGAGAGACTGAAGGGAAGAGGGAGGCAAAAAGAGAGGGACAGGGAGACGAGGATGAGGAACAGGAGGATGGATGGAAAGGGTCACGGTGCTCAGAGGTGAGGTCCACGAGCAGAGTGAATGTGATAGTGCAAGAGGGGTGGTCCATGACAACAGTAGCTCCTCACTGGGCTGTGGGGAATAGTGGGGACTGACAGGCCTGGATTAACTCCCTGCATCATCTGCACTAGCTGGATACTGGGGAAACTTTACAGGCCACCTAGGCAGGGTATTTTCTACACTGCAATGAATAACCCATGACTGGCCCGGGTCAACTAACTCAGGCTCAGGTTGCAAGGCTATAAAATTGTGCTGCAGTCATTCGGGCTCAAGCTGGAGCCTGGGCTCTGAGACCCTGCAAGGTGGGAGGTGCCAGCGTCCAAACTGCTGCAGTGCAATTTTATAGCCCACAGCCTGAGTCCAAGTCAGCTGACCCAGGCTAGCTGCAGGGTGTTTTATTGCAGTGTAAACATACCTGTAGGCTGGTCTGAGCCATGTAGAGTGGGGAAGGGGCAAAGGGCCTGGCATGCTACTCAGCTCTGGCTGTGTCTAGGCAGGGGAGAAGTGGAGACTGGCAGGACCAGATTCATTCATTGCACCTTTTGGTTTTGCTACTAGTTGGTATGAGGAGGAAACTCTGTGGCATTTTTATAGGTCACCTGAAGACTCCTCCGGGCTGGTGGTATTCATGATAGGTACTTAAACATGGGGTAAGGCTGGAATTTTCAAGAGATCCACCTCCCATGACTTTCAATCAGGTTGTGCTCCTAACTGCCCCTTTGTGCCACTGAAAAAAATCTCTTCCTGAGAGATTAGAACATTTTGATCAAATTCTTTTGCAGAAAAGAATTGAGTCCATCGGTTTGGTTTGGTATCCTGTCTCCAACTGCTCAGAAACCGATACTTCAGAAAAAATGCAAAGCCAGCATAATGGACAATTATAATTATAATTATGCCACAACATGCCTACAGAAGAAATTTCTTCCTAACCAAAGGCATTTGGTAGTTGGCTTGTCTCTGACTCAGTTTCTCCATCTATAATGGGGATAATACTGATCTAACTGTACCTAATAGCGTTGCTATAAGGATTAATTAGTCAATGGTATTAAAATACCTTGAAATTGAAAAGAGCTAAATAAGGTAATAATTATACTTAGTTGAAAAAGTCACAGTGCCAATAAATGAAATATCTAGAATGAAACACCATTGGTACAAATTATTGTTCTGCTTGCACTTTAAGGGGAATTATAAACCATACGTTCTGTACAATGCATCTAATCACTGATTAGTGGAAGCAGGTTCCTTGGAAAAAAATTAAAAAGAGACTAAAGTTTGCACTTTTAATCCAGCCCTTTGAGCACAAGATATTAGTGTTTAGGAAATTCTGAAGCATGAAGATTGAATAATTAAAGGACGAACAAAAGAAGGTTATAAATTTATTTATTTTTCCCCTAGTGGTCACAGGAGCAGGAGATGGAATTGGAAAAGCATATTCCCTGGAGGTAAGATAAGCACCTATAAAATCAAAGTGGAAATATTGGTGAATGGGAAATTTCTTTCCTTCCAACATTCTTTGCAACTTAGTAAACTGATTCTACAGTTAAGAATATTATATATGCGTAAGGACCTAATCTTTCTTCTGTGTATATGCATAACTCATGTTATCACTTAGTGATATGACATTCACTTTCAAAAATTAGAAGAATGACATGAAATAGCCCCAACTGCTTCCATACTGCCAAGAAAATCACTGGGAAGTATTGAGTGATCCTAAAGATTTCATGCATTCTGTAATAATTTTATAGTATAAACTTTAAGAGACAGTATAGTCTAATAGACTAGGTTTGGGACTGGAAAATCTATTGACCTGGGTTCCATTCTCAATTAACCTGCTGTTTTGTTTTGAGCAAGTCACTAATGCCAAATATTTCAAACTTGGGTGCCTAACCTTAAATACAAATTTGAAAGTGTTGGCCTTAACCTTTTTGCCTCGATTATCCCAGTTTTAATACTGGGATAATAATATCTACCTCACAGGGATGAGTATTTAATAGCATTGCCAACTCTTACAATTTTATTGCAAAGTTCCATGCTTGGTTACTTAATACCCCTGCTCCTGGAAACAAATGTTTATGACAGAATCTCAGTTTTAATTAAAAAAAATTTTCTAGCCCTCATGGTTGCAGAGAAAAGCTTGAAAATGTTATCTGATGGCACAAAAACCAGAAGGCATAGAAAAAAACATTTTTAAAAAACTTTATTTTTAAGCCAATCTTATGACATTAAGGGCCTGACGCATGGTTCTGAACATCTGGGGTTGTCCGTATTGTATTTTGTTTGAACATATAAAGCATAAACAAAAATGCCTAGTATTTATAATTTAACACTAATTGGTAATTATTATTATTATTATTTTATTAACCACCCTCCTGGATCACACCCTTCCCATGCAGAAGAGTGGGTCAGTTTCATTCTCTGCAGCATTCCTCCTTCCCTTGTCTTTGGTCCAGTTCTCAGTGAATGGGCAGGTGGGGGGAGGGGATCAGCTGGGGAAGAATGTGCAGAATAGGGGGAATTAGCATGCATGCCCAATTGCATCTTCAAAACCACATTTATGAGTGCAAATACCTACAAGTGGAACTTGGGGAACAGTGCATATAAGTGAGTGTTTGGATGACATTTAACCAATGTGTTGTTACAAATGCTGTGTTGCCCACACAAATGTGGCTTTTGCATGCATATAGAGGTGCACCTGCAAATGTTATGGGTCAGACTCAGTCACACTGGCTGCTCTGTGCTATTTGAGCAATGCAAAGCAACTGTAAACTCGGCTTAACAGGACAATTAAAACACATTTATGGCTGCGTTGTGTTACTGGGGAGGAGTAGAACAGATTGAGTGAGCTTTTGAAAAATTTGGCTGTTACTGACCAGTTACTGTGGAGCATTTGTTAATTATTTTGGCTTTTGTAGTACGAGTAAGAGTCAGATTCCGCCATCTTTATTTATGCTGAATAGGACCTTACTCCACAAGTAGCCTTATTGATTTAAACCCTGCTCAGCTAATCTACAGGGCAGATGCCAGGCACAGGCCTCTGTGAGCTCACAGCTCAGCATCTTCATTTGGCAGGCACAGGATTTTGTGAGGCTACTGGTTAAATACCTCTGACCCTTTGAAGTTTCTTACGTGGCTCCTCTGCCTTGCTGTACTGATATTCAAGTATAAGCCCCTCTGAGGTTACAGACTCTGTGCCTCATGTTCTCTGGGCTGATGCAAAGGCACAGGTCTCACGGATGTCTCCTCCTCAGCACCTCTAGTTTGCTGGGTTGAAGCCAAAAGGCCTTTATATGGGTATTGGCTCAACACTTCTGCACTTATGGGTTTATAACCAAGGACAGATCTCTGCAGGTGTGATGGCGAGGGACGGCCCCTGTGAGGGTTCCTGGCCAGCATATCTAGTTTTCTGGGTTGATGTAAAGGCATAGTGTTACTGGCATGGAGTCTGGTGGCACCTTAAAGACTAACAGATTTATTTGGGCATAAGCTTTCGTGAGTAAAAACCTCACTTCTTCGGATGCATCCGAAGAAGTGAGGTTTTTACTCACGAAAGCTTAT